CACACACACACACAGGAGCACGCAGATGATGCTGCTTATGTTATGAGAAAAACACTAGGACGCCTAAATGTTTGTGCACTGACATGAGTGAGATTTTAGTAATGCACTCTGGATACAGGAGCTCGTTTGAATCGATCCGATTGTGTTTTTCCAGAAAATAAATTCAATAAAACAGTTTTAAACCTCGAGGAGGATTTGAGACATTTTCTCGCTTACAAAACGTGGCAGGTTTGGTTTGGATCGAACTGCTGAGAGCTGAGATAAGATCTCACTCAGTGGGTTTTTGCAAGGATTATTTTGTTATGAACTTGTGCATCAAATTCACAAACTTTRTAGAAAATTCATGCCAAGGAGATTAACTCAAAAGAAACTGAAGATGAGATATTAACACTGATGTTGTTTTCATGCTGTTGAAACAGTTGAAGTTGCTGCTGCATTTAAACAATGAGTGATGACTGTAAGTGAAAAACAGAGAAACATTCCTTTGCTTTAGTATGAGTGGTGGTTTAAGGTCAAAGGTTTGAAAAGTAAAGATAAACGGCAAACATGACAGATCAGATGAGATTCTCCAGATGTACAATTTAGAAGAAGAAACCGAGGAAGGCTGGAGACATTTGTCGTAGTTTGAAGAGGATRGGGCAGATGGGAATTGATTGAAGACAATGCAGAAAAAACAAACAGACCCCAGCGGGGACCGTCTCTCCCCTCCACTCTCCCACCCATACAAAACGATCAAAGCGGATGTCCGGTCAGAGCTAACCCTCGGCTCACTTCCCATGTGCAGCAGAGCAGTTTTCTTACTGAGTGTTGTCCAACCTGACTTTGTGTGACCATGATGTGCCGATATGCACACAATCAAATAATGATTTTAAAAATCACCAACTTCAGGGCTTTTCAACTAAATTGCTCAGGGAGCCACAGTTACTCAAAGCCAACAGCTCAGGGGTCAGACATCAACGGTGGGGTGTGGCTTTATAATAAACCATTATGTAGTTAGAATTGATCACAAATGCGTGAAGCAGTAGCCTGGCCCTTGCCTTCCTACGCAGTTCCACTCAATTCTAGTTTCCCTTCACTGCTCCGTCTGGGACTTCTCCCATAGACAAGGATTTCTTCAGGAGAATTTTCATCTGGGCCAATCAGCAAACAGAAGCCGGAGTTTTGAACGACAACGTCGATTTTCGGCAGTGTCTGCTAGTTAGTTTAGCATACAGCAGTGGAGGAAGTGAATGAAGCCAGTCTGTGTTGACAAGACTTCTAAATTAAATTAAATTTGTCTGACAATGCCTGCAGCTCTCATTTACAGTCGTCTCATTCTGCTCGGTACTTCTCTCCTTTCAGTAGGGTTGTTTACAGCGCACACAATTTCTGGTTAGCTTCCCAGCTTAGCCTCCTTCACAGTGGAGCTGGCACACCTGCGTCGCGGCCAACCGAGCCAATCATTTTAAACTTCAACAGAGGCCACGCCTCCAGCAAGAATCACTTCTCGTACGAAGCAAAGCAAAAGACAAGGGTCTGGTTTTAATCAGGCTAGCGAAGCAGACCAACCTCACACGTTTATCGAGTAAAYGCAGTAGACGGGGGAGACACCATTGTAATTGCACAAATTCAACAGGTAAATTGATGCTGATACACAGACTCGTCTCGATGTATTTGCTCTAAGCTAATTTATGTTAAAGGGGCTGTATCATGTAAAATCAACTTTTTTGAGTTTTATATCATGTTATAATGTTATCCTCTTATCAAAAACATGCCCAGAGTCTTGCTTTGACTCATTCATGCACGTTTGAGAAATCCTGTGGTGTCCTGAGACAGCCAGGCAGTGGAGCAAAAATGACCGGTTGGGACTAGAACCGCCTTTTGGGACCAGCTCCTCCTCTGGGCTGTGTCTCCAAGCCGAGCTTCCTCATCACAGAGCACACACAGCCACCCCCCGCCCCCACCCGTGACTCCTGCAGGCTCTCAGCAGCAACAAAGCAAACAACTGGTGAAACTGAAACTGTCTGCTGAGCTCCTATTACTACTTCTCAGTGCAGCCCTGTTCAGATTCAAAATACTTTTGAGGAAATGTATTTTCAGATGCTAAGTAAACTACGCCGAGCACCCCCCCCCACCCCGCTTCCCATTCTGTGATCCAGAAGAACAATAGCTTTTACCTTTTAAATCAGTTTATTTTGTTGCACTAAATCGTAAATTCACAATTGACTTAAAATCTATTTTATGTTAAATTAAGCTAAGAAAAYATGAAACTGTTTGTGGAGCTCCTTGGGCCAGACAGAAGYCACCTGTGGGTAGGTTATGGCCCAYGGGCCGCCARTTGAATAGCCCAGGTCTACTTCAATTAAACAGTAAAACTTTTACATTGATTGTGCAGATTTATGGTTAAACAGGAAGACGATTCATATGTTCTGTTTTTATTTTGTCTTTTTTTCACTCAAATTTATTGAATGAGGTCTTGATGCACAGTGTTCTCTGCACTGYGACGCAGTACATCCTTATCTCTGGTCACCATTGATTTTTCTTTTCTCTAGACTCGTACTCGGCAGCAGGCAGCGAGGGCAGCATTTCCACCTCTGTGGCGTCGCTGCCCCCACAGCCATCAGGCAGCTCGGCCCCCAGTTCACCGGGCTCCAGACGTTCTGTCAGCACCCTGAAAAAGTGGCTCACGAACCCCGTCCGCAAACTCAGCGCCGGCTCGTCTGCTAAAGGAGATCGTCAGGTCCGGAAGCTTGAAGGGAAACCTCCGCCTCTGCCTCTGCCTTGCCACAGCCAGAGCCAAGAGCTTGGCAGCCCCCCGATGCTTGACGAGACCCTCACCGTTCTACCTGTGACCCACAGCGAACCGGTGAGAAACGGGAGTCAAAACAGCTGTGAAGTGTTTTTTCCTGTGCCGTCACAGAAAGTAATGAAACAAGACATGCACGCTGGATTCAGCGTCCAAGTTTTGTTCTACACATTTCGAGATGAACCACCTCTTAAGTAAACTCAGAGGTCTAAATTATACTCAGATCATCTCGTGGCAAGAACTGGTTCTGAGGTAAACAGTCTTAATTACTGTCTTACATAAACAGAAAGTGCAGCCAGTGTCTTGAACAGCCACGGCTTGTTTACTCAAGAATAACAGCAGAGATAAAAGTTTGACTTCTGAAGTGTCRTGTCAGATTCGCTGCTGGCTCAGCTTCTCTCACTTTGCTGTTTTTCCCGCTCACTTTGTTTTGTTATTTTATTTCAGAGCATGAACGCATAAACATGCTGCAAACATTATGACCGGTGTTGATGTTGTTATTGTTATCCTGAGGATGTGTCTTAGTGTGTGTGTGTGTGTGTTTGTGTTGCAGGAGTGGAAAGATGGCCTGGCAAGTCCTGAGGACCTGTCACCAGCCTCACTACAGCCACCAAGTTCTCTGAGTGGTTTCACATCACTGCCAAACACCCAGGTTTGCAMTCGCACAGCACCACAAAACTCACTCCTGACCTAATCCATCTTTTGTTACATGTTATTTATGTCAAAATAACATAAAACTAATACCATTACAAGCTTAAAAGGATAGTTCAAAGGTTTTGGAAAGGATTTTAAATTTTTTTTTACAAAAGGCATATGAGGAATTAAGACTTTATCTGTATTAGATAATGCTTTAGGCTTGGTAAGATTAGTTTTGACCAGATTGATGAGCTACAGGATAGTCCAGAAGGGGTCAAGATCAAAGTGGCCTACTGCTGTCTTTAAAAAAATCTATTTATGTAAATCCTATTTTATAAGCTCAAACTGTTTTGCAAACCATCCACATTTCATAAGATTTTTATGGTTGTATCAAAAAGAAAATAGCAGCAGCTAATTGTAGCACAGAAACAAACATAAAATGTGGGCGGGTCCAGAGCCGGGAGAGTGACAGGAGGTAAAAACGGACACAGGGAATAGAGAAACTGCTTATACAAGGAAACAATAAACAGATGCTCGCTCTAGGAGGATAAAAATGAATATTCCACAGTAACTAGATAATTTTATCCAGACAGTTTCAGAAACTTCACATCCATAATTTGTTTATTCTGCTTGTTATGTTTCAGTGATTCAGGCAAAACAAAGGTGCTGCTGGTCATTTCATTACATCACATTTTCAGCCCTGGAAGCACATTCAACCCAAAGTTAAACACACCCGTTACACATTCAAGCATGTTCAAACAAAGCAGACTGATGCACAGGGGACCAGAGAGCAACCTGTGTGAGGAATGACTCACATTCAACGTGGCACAAAAAGACATGCCATGAGATAAATGGGAAAGAGCACAAAACAACAGACGAGATGAAAGAKCACCGTGCCGACACTCAGGTTTCCAATTCTTCATCAAACCGTTGCAGTGGKTTGCTGGAGGAAAAGGAGCATCTCAGGTTGGGCCGTTCATGAGGTCGTTTTATTTATCTGTGTAAGTGAAGGCTTGCCTGGAACCCAGGAACACGGCGTGAATGAGCTGTGTCCGAGCCCCATAAATGTGAAACAACAATGATGTTGGAGCATTAGAGGAGCGTCTCATGTTTGTGAATCAACACCTGAGCACTTAAAATGTAATTTCACTTTCAGCAGCACATCAAAGGGCATTAGTGTGATTACATCAGTGGGATGAGGTCAGCACTTTGGTGTTTTTACGGCTTGTCTTTGAAGGCAGAGGGAAAACTAGACAAAAGAGGACAGGCAGCTCCATGGAATCGTGCAGGCTTCTTATTTCATTCACTTACMTATCATCACGCTTTATCATCACATGCCGTATCATCACATACATTGTTAGTCTAATGAAGCAGAATGGAGACTTTCACCGAATGTCAGCACTTGAATAAAACTTGCCATCAAAAACGAATAACGTCTAATATTTATAAAACTGTCTCCTGGACTTAGTGGGGCAAAATGACCCACAGACAAAATATTTTAGGCAGGAAAAGAAATTGTTAAAAAGAGCAAGGCTCTACAGAGCTAGCCAGAGGAATTTTTATTTCTTGAGATGTTATTTTACCGTGTTTGCCCTCAACCGAAGCACAGCTTTGATTTGTGTGTTTACCGCAGGGTTGCATCACCTCTGTTTTTAAATCAAAACCTGTTCCGTTTTGCTCAATAGAAAAAAAAATTAAATCTGCTTGTTTATTGTACTTTATCATTTCACAATGCACCAACTGTTTTTTTAATGAACTGGATGGCAAACACCACAGGTCTCTTATAAGGAAACTATGTAGACGCTACAGAATGTGGTGTGGTGTTGTTTTTGCTGGAAGATGTACGAACTTCTCTGAAAGCAGAATTTGCATGTCATCCTAAATAAGACTTAAACATCATGATGTTCCTGCTGAAAGTATCAACTATTTGCACTTGCAAAACACTACAAACCCCTATGTGAAAATCAATAAGCTAACCATGATGCTAAATTAACAGCAGTGTAAATGTTTATAAAATGCTTGAACTGCGTGAAAAATTTGAGAACCAGTTGTCATATTGTGAATCTTGGTCAAAAATAGTCCGTTTAATTTATATTCAAATGAGTACAATTAAAAAAATATACATATCTTTCAAAAAATTTCCACTTTAATGTTAAAGATCTGTTTGAAATTTGAAGTTGGGTTCATTTTTGACCCCTGATTCTTTTATATGGTGCACCAATCTGATCCAAAGTTAAGTGAATAGTTTGAATAGCTGTTTTATTTTAATGATACATAAATCAATTATCTTGTCATGTTTGCTCTTCTGGGTATAAAGAAGCAAAACTTCTAGTGGAGTGCAAGCAGGGTTTTTTATTTTTGTTTTATCCACTGGGCTTTGCCACGACACATCTGGAAATGATCAGGGAGCCGGGGAGACCTGTCAGCCGGGCTGAAGTGCTCCTAGCAGGGCAAGAGGAGCTGAGGGAGCAGAGGGCCTGCATGAAGCTTGTCTGTCTCTCGTTTGTCTCTGTCTCTTCGTCGCAGTGACAAAACAGAATGTCCAGAACTCGTAGATGCCAACTAGTTTATCAACGATAAGACAGAAGAACAAGTTGAACTAGTCTGGAACCAAAGAGGAAAAATTGCTCCGTTTCTTTCCATTTTCTATGTGTATCTCTATCCAGTCATCTAATTTTTTTAGGCAGCTGTCAGTTTGTGGAGTCAGAGGGATTAGGTGCATGTCTGTGTTGTGAATAGGCTTGTGTGTGTGTTTAAGGTGAGGAGGACTTGCCTGAGTAGAACAAGGGGACGCAGGGATTCATAAAAACAAATGAACAGCTTTTATACATTTATGTGAAATAAGTTGTGAAAGACCTAAAGAGCAGAGCTAAAATGACAGTTTGGAGTAATTTTGCCATTTAACTACATTTTAGTGCAAAGTCTGCTTATTTTAGTAGAAATTATTTGCAAGAAAAATAAAAGATTTGTGGGCAGATGTGAAGCACGAAAGGCCTTTGCACGCTTCACTTCTCCGTGGACAACGACTACGTTTTCCCAGTAACTTGACACAGGAAATGATATCAATTACAGGAAGAAGCTGAAAAGGAGGTCATGTATGCAGCCCAGGAACACAACTGGATAGGTGGCTTTAACCTTGGCTGTTTCCTCTGTGCACTGCAGTCATTCGGTCCAGATTTAAAGAAGCTGATGTAGATGCAGTGGAGCGATGAATCTGTTTGAAAAACATAAGAAATGGGAGACTGCTGAACCCGGTGTCGTCTCCTGTTGCTTGTCGATTCTGCTTTAAGTTTTCTCTCCAATGCGCGGCACAGTCTGGGTCATTAACAGCAGCGATCTGACTCCCATCTTTTTATCTTTAAATCTCTGTTCCCCGTACCCATCTGCGCTCTCTTGTCACCCTGGCAACCCACATCATCACCATTGCTCTTCTCTTTATCTCCCTTTGTTTACTTTACTCCTCGCTCAAGGCCACTGATAAATAGTTTTCCGTCCGTCCACCCATCTTTGTATGTCCTTGTTTCCTCAGGACACCCAGGACACCCAAGACACCCAGTCCACCGGTGTGCTGCCTGATGACAGCGGGTCCATCCTGATGGACGACACCTCCAGCCAGTGGTCGGCTGTGGCGGACACCGAAGAGGAGAGGAGAAGTGCCTTAGAGAAAAGCATGTATGTGACATATTAAACGTATTCAGACAGGATGACAACTACTGCAGTAATGCACTCATTCATTCTCAGCACAAACAGCATTATGTTGGAGTGCAGCTGCCAAATGTCACTCAGAGCGGATTTATTCACAAAGGCTGTTTGCTGTTAGCTGGCACTTATGAGGAGCTATAACCAAGGGGCTTGGTTTGATGATGGCACCTAAAAATAAGCCTGAGGGATCATCAGAGACAATACGATAGCTACATGACAACGACATCATCTCTGCAAATCTGTCCCATTATCCACGCTGTGCCAGTCTGGAAATCCAGAGTAAATCCTCATGATTTACTTCCTGTTAACAACATTTATAATGTATATCAAGGCGAAACATGAAAAACATCTTTCACAAAGAGCATTTAGACACACAACGAAATATTCAGCTGTAAATAGAATAGCTAACAGAAMATTTTAGATGCAGTCACTAGCTGCGTTTCCATTGCCCATGAAAATTAGAATGTCGAAAACAAATTTGCTCAATGGAAACACGTCAATTTTGAAAAAAAAAAAAAACGTACATTTTTCGACAAAATGATTTTGCGCTAGGATGAGGTGGTTTTTCGGCCACATCGAAATTGGTGTATTTTGCAAAACTGCAATGGAAACACTTTTTTCACATCACGAGTCATGTGATCAAGAACCGGCTGTTTCTACTGGCGAAAAAGAAGACAACAGGAAATAGAAGTAGTAGTAAACTCACCAACTACAATTTCCCAAAAACACAGCACACGTAGCCGCTCCCAAGTATAAGGGGCTTGTCGCTGGAAAGCCTCGATAAGACGCCGACGTCTCCTCTGATGATGAGCGCTAGTGTCGTGGTAGCAATATGCTATGTGTTTACATCCATTGCCGCCATGCTAGTAATGACTTATAATGACTTATCATGAGAACAAACATATTCACGTGTGACTTTAATAGCATTTCTTACTTAATGGAAACACTGCAGTTACGAAACAGTTTTTCAACATTAACAGAATATCGACAAAGTTTTGTGCACATTTGCAACACAGCTACTGAATTTAGTGGAACATCTTAACATAATTTTATATTGTGACATCATTTCTTGTGTTTTTTCCTGTAGTTTTAAGGTCTCACCAGACTGTTTAAATCATTTCAGGACCGTATGGGCAGTGTTAAACCACTTGTTCCTTTTAATTTAAAATGTAAGAAATTAAATGTTGGATTTACTTAACCATGTTATGTCAACTGGTTGAGTAAATCCAAAGCGGTATACCYAATTTCTAACCAAAGAACATACTTATTCACCTTTTTACAAGTTACTGCAATAAACATGACAGGCAGTTGACAGCATGCCTTTAAAGAATCCCTCTTTWATAATGTTATTACCGTTGCTTCWATAACAGAACAATTRTCAGAAGAAAATCTATGCTGATTTRAAATATTAATTTGTAGTTATAATYGTGGATGATAGTTTAGATAAGAACGAGGCTGAATAATTGGCCTAATTAAKCTGCAGATTGATTATAGCCAGTCGGTTGTTGCCACTATTTAAATCACTTGCATCGAGCTGATTAACAGGGAAGCACAGTGTTGGTAATCCACCAAAGCTTCTTATAAATTTTGATATTTTCATGAGTGCTTTTTTTGGGTGGACAACCCCCTCCTAAACAAAAATAAACTGATCGGAATTTCACACTAGCTTTTGAAGAAAAAACAAATCAAACAGTGAAAATGGGAAAGTTGACATTTTGAAAGAAACCTGTGTGGATTCTTAAAAGAGCTTGTGCTGTTAGTGTTCACACAAATTGACAGATATAAGATAATAATTATCACCACAGCAAAGGCCTAACAGTTTCCAACACAGGAAAGTAACTGAATATTTCCTTTGCTTTTAACTCCACAGCCTCACAGTTCTCCTCTGCCGTCACATGGATGAATTCTTTTGCTCAACTYTTGTGGTGACATTTGAAACTTGTTATATAAGAACCAAGTGAAAGCAATAAAAACATGAACTRCAGCTGATCAGCTGTTTCCTGACTTCAAAACCTTTGCAGGTTATGGTAATATAATTAGATCTCCCCCCGACCCCCCAGTAGATGTGTTTTCCATACCAGTTCCTGGAAAGTCTGTATGAAAATGTTCATTTTACTTCACTTCAGGAAAAACATTACAACAATTAAAGTGCCGTTGTATGTTTTTCTGCGAAAAGCTTGTAACCTTATTCCTGTATTTCCAGGTATGTGCTGAAGGAGCTTATAGAGACAGAGAAGTACTATGTGGCAGACCTGGGGCTCATAGTGCAGGTAAAGCTCACAATCTGCACAAATATTCGTCCGTGCACTTTATCAAAGAGTCCTCCAAATCCTAATCATCACAATCCCCTCACATCGCTCCACACTTTGGTCTGTTTCCATCCCACCGTCTCCAGTCCTTAAGAAGATTTTATGAATAATAAGCCTGAGGAGTATTATATTACAGAGTCATCCATCTCCCGCTGCCTTAAATAGCTGCAGATATTTTGGTTTCAAGCAGAATTCTTGCCATCTGAAAGTTAATAAAAGCTTAGTAATATGTGAAGTGGGTTTGCCACGATTTGGTGTWGAACAACTCAGCTGTGTGGTGTTGTGTATTTTTTGTGTAAGTATGAACAAGCAGACATCAGCAGCTATTTCCTTCCCCTGCAGGGCTACATGGCCACGATGAGTTCCAAAGGAGTACCAGAGGACATGAAGGGGAAGGATAAGATTGTTTTTGGAAACATTCATCAAATATTTGACTGGCATAAAGAGTGAGTCTCTATATAAAACAATGTTAAAATGTGCATGTTTCAAATGCAAAGTGAAAGGAAAACAGTGATTTGCAGATGTGTTTGTGTCTAAGTGGAGGACAAAGGAACAAAAGTTCACAAATCTGAACTTATTTTTACAAGATGCTTGTGTTTGACTCGCTCTCTCTGTGTGTGTCTGTGTGTGTGTGTGTGTGTGTGTGTGTGTATGTGTTTTTTCCATATTGCAGCTACTTCCTGGGAGAGCTGGAGAAGTGTTTGGCAGAGCCAGAAAGGCTGGCTCAGCTCTTCATTAAACATGTAAGTATAAATATCATACACACACACACACACACACACACACACACACACACACACACACAC